TTCGTTGATTAAGATTTTCTGGAAAACGGTTTGTTGTATGAAAAATTGCAAGATACCTACATGATCCTTTATTTTTTTATGGTCCACAAGATCGTAGAATTCAAAGTCAGATAGTTTCTCTTTTGTAACATAAAATTTGGGCCATTGAAAGGGTGGACCCTCCTCCACCTCCCTCAAAACTGTGTTTTCATCATTTTTAGAGCAAGAAGGAAATATATGAGTGTCTAAAAAGACGAGGAAATGCCAATTTTCAGAAGTTGTAATCCATTATTTTAGATAATCTTTTTTTTTCTTCCGTAGATTTTCACCTTACTTACAGTAACTGTAGCTAGGAGAGGGTGGATTTTAAGAATCATGTTCATATGGAGAACAAGTCATATTATGACCCCAACAATATGTCCTCGAAATATTTATATCAAATTTTGAATTGTCCTTTATATGAATGTTTCAAGAAAAAACTTGTACACATGTTGCAATCGTGAGGAATGCCCACAAAAAATTGATGGTTCTTTCTGATTTTCTCCATCTATCCAAAACTACAATCGTACGTTTCGAATGACAATACCTAACTCCTATTTTCGTTGGGAAGGTTCTAACAAATTACGAATGAAATTTTCGTGATATTCTCTATACTCAGGTCTATTTTTCCATTATCAGAATTATTTACCAGATTGTTTCGGTATTTCAGACAGCTCTAGGGGGACCCACCTAGAGAAAAGAAGAGAGGGTCCTTCATTACTATCGCAGTATAAATAAAACAACTTCAATTCGCGTTACCATGGACTCTGGCAAGAGGGTATAGGAGAAACGTGAGGAAAACGCTCCATTACCTGAAAATGTGCAAACCTCGAGCATTAGTAAATGAAAAATATCTTAGTTTCGATATCGGATGAAACCAAGGAAACTCATCAATCATTTTTTGTTTTCGCTGCCCTGGTATGACAAAAATGACTATCTGTACTAGTTACAAAACTCGCAAAATTAGCGAATTTACTAAGAGTTTCAACCAAAGTTCCAACAATACGACAGTTGCAAAAATCTCGCCTCAAGAAATCAAAAAGTTCCTATAACCATTAGTCGTAGCAGGCTTCGTTTGCGAGATACAGAGTGTTGAAGTTGAAAATAATGAATAATTTTCTTTGAATTCCTAGATAACCACTGAACAAAAATTCTTGATATTCTGGTGCATAACTCAGCACCTGGAAGTGATTGAATGGGTTGAATTTTTCAGTGAATCTGACTTATAGTGGCACCGTTGAGGGGTATTGATGTGTGATTTCTCAGAAAAAAACATGGGTGGCGATGTCACTTCGAAATTCCATTCAAAATTACGAAAGAGGATGTAATAAGCACCAAGTGTTGAAACTCGTAAAGATACACTGTTTTCGTGAAATACTGAATAACCAAATTCAACTCCAAAATTTGATGTAGATGTCCAAGGATGTCCAATAGTCCATTCAAGATATATCTGTTCAGATCACTCTATAACTATGATAGATATCGTTCTGTAATTGTGGCAAAATAACATAACAGACTAAATTTTGCCACCACAATAAGCCAAACAGGGAGGACACAAAAAAAATCTACAAATATTTTCAACTGCAACTCCCTGTATCTCGCGAACGAAGCCTTTTACTACTTTTGTTTCTGGAAACTTCTTTATTTTCTAGAGATGCCCTATTACATCTTGAAAGGCGTCCCACATTATCACAAAACACCTTGAATCGGTACAATTTTTTTTTGTTTTCGGCCGATACAAAATGAAATACTGGAACTGAATTTCCACAATTATTCAAGATCATCATACAAGTAGGCGGAGACATAGTAGAATGAGAGCAACCCTGCATATTTTGAGCTATAATAATGATATTCTGACAGGAAAAAAACCAAGCAATCTTGAGAAATATAAAGAAATTTTCTCGAACAAGTAAATTCTGAAGCGCAATTGAAAGTTCTCGAAATGTCTAGAAAAATGAATCCTGGAGGTTCGCAGCGTCTAATTTCAAATCTGAATATAAATCAATGGAGAGTCATGGTATGAAATCAAAATTGAAAATTTCAGGGCCGGATTGCCTTAAAATACCACTAATATCACACGATATAATTTTCTATCCTCAAAATGCTCGTTATTTCATGCTACAAGTTCATGAATCTCATCAATAACCCTTCACTCCTCTTCCACTTTCGCGCCTTCTTCCACGAGCACACGGGGTATTTTTTACCTTCGTATCAGCGCCCGCAGAAACCCTTGAGAAACATTTTTTTAAACATTTCTAGAATATTAAATTTCTAACTTATAAACTTTTTGCACCCGCGATGCATTTCCGCCACCATCCGACAATAAAAAAACGGGACTTTTTTCCTACGGTCTTTCTACTAGCGTCTGAAGGAAGCAGGAACAAATTCAGAATGTAGTGGGAGAACCGCGGCAAGCGCGGGCAAAGATGACCTGTGCCCATCACCTAGCGACGCGCTGCTGATTATACATGTCATTAAGGTCTTTGAATCGTAGATACTGATTCTGGCAACACTGCTCTTGGGTCGGTCATCTGACAGTTCTTGCACGCGACCCATAACATCTGACAGTTCTGACACTGACGCTTGTTTGAAATTCCAAGTTTTTTTTAAAGGAATTATGATATTATGATTTATGATGGTCTCTTTAAGGTCAAGGATTGGAGAACGGAATAAAGGTATAGGCATCATCCACCAATATTCTAATATTCTAATATTGGTGGCCAATGTTATAGGGTAAGGGTGAGATTAAGCGCATCAGTGCAAACACCATATTGATTATAAACATCTCAGGAAAGGGGTAAGGTATTCTGTGCAATACCAATTCCTCTACCCCGTACTCCTGCTTTTATATTGTTTTTGAAAACTATAAGTAGATTTAGTATGATTAAACTACACATATTCTGAAAAAAAAACCTATACCTACTTATATAAGCACCAGGATGAAAACTTATATTTGAATGGTAAATGTTTATTCCTCAAAAAAAAAATCATTTTGGACCTCAATTCTATATACAGTTCAATAGCTGAATCTGGATTTTGGGGAGGCAATAAACCATTTTCCTGCATAATAATGATTGCTAAGTTGTAAACATCTTCATCACATGGAATTTGACCAAGAAATGTGCAAGAGGTATAAAGTTCTTGTAGATCACCCTGTGCTACTGAACGTAAGTAGTCTTTTGTGGAATAAATTTGTGGCATGTGATACATGATAAAGGGCCTGCCTTTTGGAAATACTGTTCCTTGATGTTGATAAACGATGAGTGTCCCATTCTGTCACCACATCATCAAGTTCATCCTGAAAAAAAAATGAATTTCATTCATTCATGTCATATTGCTTATAATATGAACAATATTGTTCACTATCTATTAGTTGATATCTATATCAGAAAATTATTTCAATAAACTCATTTATTGGTTTTCAAAATTAGAAACCAATGTTTGTGAAAGGAATTCATATATGTAGTAGGTACTCGAGTAGGTAGGTACAATAAATTATATATTATTTTTACCGGAATGATCCTCATGAAACAGAATTGAACCAATGCTTTTTCTAAGAATGATCCCGAAAATAAGCCATCTTCTTTCAGTACTTGGAAAACATTCATCCAATATTGGCTATGGTGTTTTCTCAGAATTGCCCACCATGCTTCAATCCGCTGATTTGAAGGGCTAGTTCCATATAAAAAAGGAGGTAGTGAGCTACCTGCACCACCTCTGATCTCTATCAAAGAAGTCTGGATTTCTATAACAACTCCATTTTCTGTTCCCAGGTCAGCCCTTATTGTTTGAGAGCAGCCACCAATTCTATGAAGTGCATCTATATAATAACCAGCAATAATTTTTGGGTTATTACTATTTTGTCCAGCTCTTAACCAGATTATTTTTCTGGAAAATCCGTCGATGCATCTACTGATGCATATTCCATATGGTTTAAGTTTGTCATAACAATCCATATGCCATAAAAAATTTGGACCTTTATTCTTGTATTGCCTTCTTCTCAGCCGTCTTCTAGTTCGAAAATCTACACCAGTGGTTCTTAACCTTTCAGTACTTAGGGACCATTTGACAATTTTCAAAATTGCCATGGACCACTGACTATTTGGAGGTGAATACATTGAATGAAAATCAATGGATGATTGTTCTATCTATGAATCAAACATGCCTCTGTTCACAACCAGCATTATTTGAATTTTTAGGCGAAAACTCAACATTACAGAGACATAATATATCTTTTTATATTTTTGTGATACTCCTCGATACTCCTCAATACTTGGTTCAGTGCTACTCAATTTCGGTGCTTCTTTTAACGATTAGTAGTGCCTAATGAAACTTCTGCTCGCATAGATATACCTATCGATGAAAACAAAGATAGGTATCGAATTGCAATTTACCAAATCTTTGCGAAATAAATTTCTTTTTGGCTCCAAAAATCTTCAAAATCAATTCCTGCCTCGAATGTATCTTTCTAGTTACTATCGGGTTGCATTTAATTCACTTCTTCTTCAATTCCATCAGGCGGTCAAAAACATTGACAATTAACGGATTGCGGTTCAGTTTCCGATTACCTTTGTTCTCGCAGTCAGGAAAATAGCGATCGAATTCACTTTTCGAGTTCACCTCTTTTGATCCCAGCACACTCTCCTTCAATAATTTGAATCAGCTTATCAACGGTTGGAAAACATTTTTTTTTCGACTGCCATGATCCTTAGTTCGATTTTAGCGATAAATGCAGCGATTTTATCTTCATATGTGAATATATACTGCTCGTGTCATACAACTTCAAATTTCCTGACGCTTGCAGTTGTAGATTCAATTCATAGAGTTGTTTTATCTACCGATTAAGCGAGTCGTATTTCAAATTAGTAATCCGTCCGCTTGTCACTAATTCAATACTTTTCTGATGGCTTCGCGGACCCCTTTGGGTGCTTCCAGGGACCACCAGTGGTCCGCGGACCACCGGTTAAGAACCACTGATCTACACCAACGGGATCAATAATTTGAAGCAGAAGACGAACCATGTCTTGTGTAACTACTAAATTATTCTGAAGGCATTTAAGGTGCATCCATCGGTATCCATGTAATTGTCCATGAGTTTTTGTATTATTTATATTTAGACAGTTACAACTGTCTATTTAAACAGTTACAACTGTCTATTTAGACAGTTACAACTGTCTATTTAGACAGTTACGACTGTCTATTTAGACAGGTTACAACTGTCTATTTAGACAGTTTCAACTGTCTATTTTCATAGATCATGTTTCTCATCATATTCGATCACATGAAGATGATATCATTATCATTATTATTCAATTTTACTTCAATATTTGAATGACATCATTAGTTCAACGTTAACTTAACATTAACCTAATATGAACTTAACATTAACTCAACATCAACTTAACATCCACTTAACATCAACTCAAAAAAAATTCAACAGTTTCTTAACATTAACTTGAAATTAACTTAATATTATAACTCAACATCAACTAAACATTTACTGGAAATTAACCTAACATTGACTTAACATCAACTTAACATTAACTCAATAGTTATTCAACATCAACTCAACATTAACTCAACATTAAATCAACATTAACTCAACATTAACTCAAAATCAACTTGACATTACCTTTAAATCAAATTAACATCAACTCAATATCAAATTGACATTGACTTCACATTTATCACTAAATTGCCAATACATTGACATTAATTCAACTTTCAATTAAAATTAACTTGATTTCAACTTCTCATCAACTTAACATTACGTCAACATTAACGACAATAACTCATGTTGAATCGACACTAACTTTCCATTAACTTGACCATAACTTAACTTACCATAATTCAGCATAATAATCATTCATTGGTAAATCATAATCTATAGACCCTGTTACTGTGCGATTTTCGAATATTTCCACCCATGTGAGTTTTTCTTTCGAACTTTCTAACTGTAATATGTTCTCATAGTGAAAAGAGTCACTTTCTCAATAATAAATCAATGTGTTTTGTGCTGTTTTCATAGGTGGTCGTAGGAACATATAATTTTATAATCTGATTTTCAAATGAAGTGATAACTGTTGCTGGTATTGAGCTATGTATAAGTTTATCGAAGATTGAAACCTCTGGCACGCAGACTGCACTGTTTTACCACTAACCAAACCGATGTTTTACGCCTGGACTGGCGTTTCGCTAACTGTGTTAGCATCTTCAGTAGATGATTATAAAACCGTTTCAATCTTCTTCTGAAGATGCTGACATAGTTAGCGAAACACGTGTCGAGGTGTTATAAAATCGGTTTGCTAAGTGGTAAAACCATATGTAGGTAGTGATTATTATTTAAAACTTTCACCTATTTGAAAACCAAGAACAATAAATATTATTCAAATGTTGAAGTTATTAATTGAACAAAAAATCACAAGAAGAAAAAAGATAACTGAAATACATTAACATAAATTAAAAACTGAATAAACATGGATTGTTTGGTCACATCTTAGGTGGAAAGTATATGCAATAGAGGTAAAATCACGTCAAGAGTTGCACGACTAAATTGAACAACACTCGAATGACCTCAAAGGTGATCCTCAACCGTAGAATTGTGTAGGGAATCGTGAAAATGAATGACATTTTATCTTGACTTTCTTCTTGAAATTATTTGCTTGATCAATGATTTCAGCATAAGAATATGTTATAATTATTTTATTGGAATTAATAAATAATTTGCATCAGTTATCATCATTTCATAATTTTCGAATCAGAATATGTCAAAATGGTATAATCGATATGAAACCACGAGTTCCAGCCACGACTTTGCCAATCATTCAAGGTACGCACCAGATACAGTGTGGAGACTTTGAATTAAATAAATTGGTCAGCGGGAGGTGGATACTTTCTCTGGAAATTTCCGACATACGTCAATGATCTAAAGTATTCACCTAGCTGAAACTACCCTCTACATGATTTTTTCAAATGTAACCCTACGGCTTATGACCTTTCATTGGGAAGCTGGTTGAAAGAAGAATCCAGCTACTAGTCAAATTTTAGTTTTTCATACGTTTAAAGGTTGCATGAAATTGAAATGTTATCTTGAATGTCTTTATTTTTTTCAACGTATCTGTCGCTCAAAATGTGTGTTGAACAATTGATGGCAATTTTTTGTTGCAACTGCTATCTGCTATCTTCGGAGCCGCAAAAATAAATTTAGTTTATTTGCTGTATTCACACTATTCACAATTCGAAACGAAGTGTAATTGCATACTGGTGAAAATGCTCTATATCCCTATCACTCAAAGTCGGAATTTTGATGAAAATATGTTGAAAATATATTGAACTTCGAAATTATATTATGATTTTATGCGACCCCCAAACTCACTGCAAACTGAAATATGCATGATCTGTACGCTCGATTTCTTTTTCAACTAGCTTCCCAATGAGTGGGTCGCAAGCCATAGGGTTGCATTTGAAATAAACATGTTGGGGTAGATTCCTGCTACCCTTTATGGGTTATAATCTCATTCAAATGTTGACGTGTGTCGCAAATTTTCAGAAAACTCATTCACTCCCCCAGTAGCCAATTCATTCCAGTTGAAGTCTCCACCCTGTATACCACGAATGGTCGTCTATTATTGATTTATATTCGTGACTGGCCATGGAATTACTAAATCATTCAAGATATCTCCGTGGTTGCTCAAATTAGGGCAAATAAGTTGCGCATTCTGTTGCTGAACAGTAATCTGAAAAAAAATATGACCTATCTTTTTTTCTTGGTTTTCCAGATATCGACAAAACACTGGAATTCGTGATTCTCGTTTTCATTTTTTATAGTTAGCCATTTTATTATCCATTTATTCAACGTTTTTTCTGATTCCGCCGATGTATTACACAACATGATTTGGTTTTATATCATGGTCGAAATTAAAATTAAAATTTTTTGGTTTTTGGAAGATTGCCTTGGAAAATCGTTCTTCGAATTTGTTGATTTCGAATTTTGACAGTTCAGTACATTTTTAACGCAAGACGTTCACTTTCGGATTGCAAAATTCGCTTTTTCAATGAAGAACAGAGAGATAATAAGATGTTGAGAATTTATGTTTTTAATCAACACGTAAATGTGAGCAGATAAAAAAAAACAAATGAAGGGCAAAATATAAATTACTCGATAAATTATCAGAGATGCTGTTCGAACTGTCCACCTTCCATCAATATACATAATTCTGCACGTTTTCTCACATTTGCAATCACTCTTTCGATACTTCGTCTGCTTATCTGTCTCAAAGAGTCAATAATATTTTGCTGAAGGTCATTGATATCGACTGGCAGAGTTTTATAAACTGAATTTTCAACAATTCACCGCTTTTGAATTTTTCATAGACTACACATGGGTATATTCAATTTTTGGGTCCGTGAATATATAAAAGTAAGGTAAATTGATGTGAGGTCAATTTGATGTAGGAGTATTTCGCTTGGCTAAGCTACTGCATTAGTGTTAGCAGAACATGACGGATTATTGAGAAGTTTTTCACACTCATAAAACGAGTGGCAAAACTCACAAAATAAGAGGATTCTGTGTTTCAACAATCTGACGTGTTGCCGTAATATCGCCTTTTTGCTGAAAACAACATTTTTGTGATTTGATCGAATATAGTTTATTCTTTCCTCTAGACAAAGGCGTATTTTTGTGCTGATATTTTACCTCATTTTTACCGCACGAATGTGATGAATAATCAAAAATGGTCTACAATCAGATCAGTACAAGCATCACGAACGGTGTGAGCTATTTGTACGGAATTAAATGGTAAAATTAATGAATGTAGCGATATTGGAATGAAGGGCAAAGACGAAGAAATACCGAACGATTATAATAAATATTTGTTGTCAGTGACTCCTAAACTGTTGAAAAATTTAGAAAATGTTTCATTCTACAGTAATGTCGTAGAAAATGACCAGGATATAATAGTATCATTCGTAACACAACAAGAAATATGCGACTTCACTTCAAATGGCATTTTTTCAAACAATCTGAAAATTGCTCTCATAAAACCATTGTACAAGCAAGGCGATCGCGAATTGATGGAAAACTATTGGCCAATAACAATAAGTTTATTAACAAGTTTCTCAACACTGTGTGCAAACGAATTGTTGATTTCATGAATAATTGCAACTTGTTGAATAGAAATCAACATTACTCAACAGGCAAGTCTTAGACCTTTCAAAGACATAAACGATTGTCTGGACAGAGAGCTTCTTCTGAGGAAACTGGAAATGTTTGAAGTAAGAGGAAATACTTTGAAATGGTTCATATCATATCTCATTGGCCGAAAACAGAAAGTGTATCTGACAAAAGGTGGCCAAAATTACATTTTGGAATTAATGAACAATGAAAACGGTATTGCACAAGATAGTATTATAGGCCCTATCCTTTTTATTGTATTTGTGAACGATTTGGTAACAAACAAACATGATAGAATATTGGTAAAATATGCAGACGACACGAACCTAGTAATAGGTGGTAAATTAATAAATGAGCTTTTCAATCAAAGTGACCAGTTTCTGCAAGATACAAAAAAATGGTTCAATGGAAATGATTTCAAATGAGAAAAAAACCAATGTTATTTTATTCATAACAAAGCTGGCTACAGCACGGAAATCGACGCAGTGGAAGGGGAAAGACCAGAATTGTGATTTTTCAGAAAATTTCATATTGACGAGTTTTTAGATTGATCTTGTCACATAAATCACTTAACGAAGAAACTGGCTTCAATTAGCAATGGAATTAGAGTCATCAGCTGATATATGAATGAAAAAACTTTGAAGATATTATATTTTGCCAATTTCGAATCAGTGTTGGAATATGGAATAATTTTCTGGGGAAGCAATTCAAATTTAAGACATTTTCGTTATCGAAAAACGATTACTCAGATTGATTAAGAATTGATTAAGAAAATGAACTATAATCAGACATGTAGGTCTATATTCAGATCAGAGAATATAATGACTGTATATGCAATATACATATACGAGTGTCTCGTTTTAATTAATAATAACAAAAATGAATTTGATGCTGAAGTTAATCATCAGTATGAGACGAGAACATCAAGCATATACTACCCCATACATCGCTTGCCACTATCAGAGAAGAGTCCTCATTATAAATTCAAATGGCATAAAAGTAGCGAGTAGTCAAAAACACTTCAAATCAAAAATAAGACCACTGTTAATCAAATTGAAACCTCATTCGCTGAATGACTTCTTGAATTCCTAGGGAGTGTAAGTTTGTATGACGTCATTTCACTTTATGTTAGTTTATGTAAATGTAGGTACATATTACTGAACCAAACATGATTTAAAATGAAGAAGTTCATTATTTTTATCATTAATATTATAATTATAATAATTATTATTATCATTATTATAATTATTATTATTATTATAAGCTTTAGTGGTCTCAGACAACATTGGTTGATATAAGTGATATTTAAAAATTCAAGTCTTATACACACAACAAGTTTCAGTATTTCTCATATTCGATACAATGTGTGTGAAAAAACACTGAATTATAAAATAGTGAAGTTCTTGAGACTTGGAATTCTGAATGTTTTTCTCGAAGCTATCAAAATAGGTATAATCAGACGATTCTTACATAATACATCCGGACATAAAGCTGTTCATTGAATGGTAAATATAGTACTTAATGTTTCTCCTAATATATCGGTTCGTTATACTTGTTTCAGATGGCCTAACCTTACAACTTCCTCCACTGCCCACAATCTTGCCTAATAATGACGACAATAGTGGAACTAGAATGCTGGTTGATATATCAATGTATCGCTACAGAATGCAGCGATTGTCTGTGTAAGTACTTACTTCATTTATTTAATTTCAATCGCGAGATGAAAAAGATGAAACTCAATCTTTTCAAATATTATAAACATTCAGTCATTGGATAATGAGGATTTAATAAGAATACGAGGAGGAGTTCAAAGTCGAGTTTTATATGTAGGTACCTTTCCTACGACCTCTTATCGAAATTAAGAAAAGTACAAAGCTAATAAATTTCATATGATTGAGAAATAACTCATGGTTAGAATAACTATATATTGTCTTACAAACGCCAATATTTCTTTGATTATATATACAGGGTGTTACTGGTGTTATGTAGGTGCTTATTTAATAAGTATAAGTGATTCTTGGGCTAATTTCAAGTCAAGAAGTTCATATAAGTCTATGTCCCAACTTGCCTCGTTTTCAGTGTTTTGAAATGAACTGCTGATCAGGTGAAACGCGACAAAACATTTTTGCGCTGAATTCAACATTCAATAATTTATAACTACGAAATAGCCACAAAGCTCGAAGTGGAATGAAATAATAAATGAATACAAAAAGCTCAAAGTCATATCCACACAATATTCATGAAATGAACAACAATGGTAGATTCCGGGAGAAAAACAACTACTCTCCGGGCTAATGCCACGCAGAACATTGGATTACAGATGGCGTTGCTTTCATATTGTCTATGAAGGACGCCTCTGAAGAGAATATAATGACGACTTGATTGTTGTTTGGCTAGGCTACGCTTAGTCGGCGGTCTTAGGACTGCTGGCTGGAGACTGCCCTGCACTGATGAGAGTCGAAGAGCTCCAAATCGGTCTGTAGCTGCCTAGCGTGATCTGGCTAAATGGAAATCAATTGGCATTCGGGAAAATCATCACTTGTATCAGTATTCGTTTATACTAGTCGATGCATAGATTTCGGGAGGATGTTATTCAATGTTTTGCGGGCATTAGCCAGGAAAGTAGTTGTTTTCCTCTCGAAATCTACCATTAATGTTAATTTCATGAACATTGTGTGGATATGACTTTTGTCTTCTTGTATCCATTCAAGTATTTATCATACAACACAATGTGCAAATCCGTTTACTTCACCTATACAGAGATCTGCATCACAAAAATAAGCCAGTGCTGTTACTTCTGATTCATTCGAGATCAGATTTTGAAGTTTGGTGGTTAACAAGTATACGGCATTGTGTACTTGCTACCCACCAAATTTCAAAATCTGACCTCAAATGATTCAGCACTGCCGTTTCTTCTGCAGTTCTCTGTATATGGTCATAAAATCACTGATAGATGAAAATGATATCTTGTTGATCAGGGTGTCGAACAAACATCTGCAAAATATTGGGAAATTCCTTATGATCCCAAGTCTATTTTTTCTGATCGTATTTTTAATGATGCCTAAATATACAGCGTGTTTCAATTCAAATGGCCCCCTCTATAATACAGCTTTCAGTCGTGCAATTTGCGTACCAAATTTGGATAGGTACGAATATACATTATATAATCAGTTTTTCAGAGACGAACATCATTCTAGCCAGTGTCGTACTGTTTTATTGAAATACAGAGAGATCGATTCCCCATGAAATCATAGTGAATCCAAGTCCACTGCGAATTTAAGAACGTTGAGTAGGTAAAAATCAGAATAAACTTTTTTGTTCAACTTCCTGGGTACTTAGGTAAATAATAATCTACGTTCCCAAAAATACTGTTCAGATGTACCTATTTTTTTTTAACAATTCCTTTAATTCATATGAACATTTATATATTTTGAGAGTTCGAAACATATTATAAAGTCATTTTTCTTTATGAAAATTCAATTTCATGAAAAGTTCACCCTTTTTCATTTCGATGGAAGCAAACGTCAATGTTCAAAATGATTTTTATTCTAAAAGAAATGATCATATTGATAGTTATCAATACTGATCAGAATTTGATAAGAATCGCACGAGTATTAGCTGAGATATAAAGGAGGAGGGCATTCGAAATAAGACACGCTAGATAACTTGAAACGATTCTTTCAATTATTCAATAAACTGCGACCTAAAAGTTTAGAGAATTGAAAATTTGCCTATACTTACTTGAAATGTCATGTTTTCCATTCACAGAGAATTTTGCCTAAATACAGGATATACTTAGAATATCATTCCAGGAAGAATAAAATAATACATTAACAACTCACTTGAATAGGGTATACTCATATGTTTCATCGAGGTTGAATGACACATTGTCTCCTGGAAAAGAGAGAGAACGAATATAGAGAGGAAACACCAAGATCGATGAAACTGTTATTCGAATAAGGAACTTGAAAAGCCCATAAACTTAAGTGATCCATCTATGAGGACTTCCTATTAATTATCGTCAAAATGTTGTCCAATGTGGAATAAACAGTGTGATTCACAATAACCTTAGATATGCTTTTTGTCTCATTCAACTCATAACCAACTCAGAATTACATGATATGAACATAAACTATAGTAGTATAATGTACTTCATTATTCCAAATTTTTTGGGATTTTCTCTCCTCGTTTCTATAAAATAAAAATATGAATATTATTTCAATATACGTGTAGTAAGGACAAATCAGATGATTTGCCCCAAAATGTCACTGCGTTTAAAGAATTTTCCTATCAGAGAGCCTAAAAGAAAAATTCACTAGCTTGTCAGTGACAATTTGTATTGGAAAAATTTTTGGAGAAGGGAAATAAAGGTATATAGAAAAAATATCAAATTTTCACTTATCTTTGGACGTTTCGGGACCGGTTCTGCTCCCGTTTTCAACATAAGAAGAGATTATTTCAATAGCGAAGTCGTATAATGTCTTGAAGCTTTTCAGTTTTCAATGACAATTGGTGACGTTGGCAATCAAATGAGTTACAGGATGTTTTCATTAATTGATCTTGAATTTACCATTTTCATGTTCAGATTTTAGTAGTGAATACCATGTTCTGTCTATATCAACTGAACAAGAAGCAATGTTATTGTCTCCGTTCAGAAGAATGCAAGCAGATTCCTTGATTTTTCTCTTCTGGTTGTTATCTTCTTTTCCAATAATTTTAATATTATTCCACTCTGCCATATGTTGTCCTTCTTCAGTAAGGATATGTTCAGCTAGTTTCGATTTATCGATGTTTCTTTTCTTTATATTGTACTTATGTTCTTTCGTCCTTACTGAAAGAGGTCTCTTGGTTTCACCTGTATAAAACTTTCCACAAACACAAGGTATACTGTAAATACAATTTTTTGATGATTGTTCTTCATTTTTCGGCTTTGTTTGAGTTAGAATTGATCTCATTGTATTTTCAGTTTTGAACACAGTTTTCACTTGAAATTTATCACCAACACGTTTTATTTTTTCAGATATGCCGGGAATGTATGGTATTATATTTGTCGTTATTGATGGTTGATTTTGTTGTGGTTGACCCTGTTTGTTTTCAATTCGATGAATCGTCCTATCGACAAAATTCTTTGGATAAGAATTGAGTTGGAGAACATTTTTAATGTGGTGGACTTCGTTATTGAAAATTTGTTGGTCAGATGATATTGATTTGGCTCTATCATGGAGTGATTTGATTATTCCTTTCTTAATACTTTTCTGATGATTTGATTGAAAGTTCAAGTATCTGTTAGTATGGGTCTTTTTACGATAAACACTCGTTACAAAGATGTTATTTGATTTTTCAATAAGAACATCTAGAAACGGTAATTGATTATTAGATTCAATTTCCAAAGTGAACTTTATTGTAGGTTCGGCATTGTTCACATAATCCAGAAAATTATCTAGTTCCATAACATTGTGAGGCCAAATTATGAATATATCATCTACGTATCGCCACCATGTTTTAGGTTGTTTTTGGTAATTTTTGATGATGTTGTCTTCAAAATTCTCCATAAATATATTGCTTAAAATTGGAGATAATGGCGATCCCATGGCCATTCCAAAGTTTTGTTGATAAAACTCATCACCCAATTGAAAATATGTTGTTTTTAGACACAATTCCAAAAATTCCATTATTCCTTCGATACTTAAATTAGTTCTTTCAGTATCGAAGGAATAATGGAATTTTTGGAATTGTGTCTAAAAACAACATATTTTCAATTGGGTGATGAGTTTTATCAACAAAACTTTGGAATGGCCATGGGATCGCCATTATCTCCAATTTTAAGCAATATATTTATGGAGAATTTTGAAGACAACATCATCAAAAATTACCAAAAACAACCTAAAACATGGTGGCGATACGTAGATGATATATTCATAATTTGGCCTCACAATGTTATGGAGCTAGATAATTTTCTGGATTATGTGAACAATGCCGAACCTACAATAAAGTTCACTTTGGAAATTGAATCTAATAATCAATTACCGTTTCTAGATGTTCTTATTGAAAAATCAAATAACATCTTTGTAACGAGTGTTTATCGTAAAAAGACCCATACTAACAGATACTTGAACTTTCAATCAAATCATCAGAAAAGTATTAAGAAAGGAATAATCAAATCACTCCATGATAGAGCCAAATCAATATCATCTGACCAACAAATTTTCAATAACGAAGTCCACCACATTAAAAATGTTCTCCAACTCAATTCTTATCCAAAGAATTTTGTCGATAGGACGATTCATCGAATTGAAAACAAACAGGGTCAACCACAACAAAATCAACCATCAATAACGACAAATATAATACCATACATTCCCGGCATATCTGAAAAAATAAAACGTGTTGGTGATAAATTTCAAGTGAAAACTGTGTTCAAAACTGAAAATACAATGAGATCAATTCTAACTCAAACAAAGCCGAAAAATGAAGAACAATCATCAAAAAATTGTATTTACAGTATACCTTGTGTTTGTGGAAAGTTTTATACAGGTGAAACCAAGAGACCTCTTTCAGTAAGGACGAAAGAACATAAGTACAATATAAAGAAAAGAAACATCGATAAATCGAAACTAGCTGAACATATCCTTACTGAAGACGGACAACATATGGCAGAGTGGAATAATATTAAAATTATTGG